GTAATTGAACTCTTCAAAGAAATTTCACTTCGCCAGAAATCGAACTGGTCTTAGATATCTGAAATAAGCAATAGGCAATAGGGTGAGCAATAGAAGTTACTTAGTTAAGTAATAGTAAATGAAGTGCTAGACACCAAAGACGGAGAGTAAAAATTAAGTAAATTTAATGGCAGAGAGAACTAAATTTACCGCATAAAGAAGTATTTTTAATGGAACTCTATATGGACCTACCAGTATATGTTATGTATACACTTGAACTTATGTCCTTTTTGTTTTCTCTTTACAATAGCAGTTCTTCAAGTGATTGCACAAGGATAAAACGTTATGGATGATATACAATCACAATAAAAATGAAAATAAGAAAATTTAACAACATCAATGACTTGACAGCACAACTACCAAGAAGAAAACAGAAAAAATATTTAGATTCATTTGGCATATGTGAAAATGAACATTCATTTGAGAGAAATGTGAAAAAATGGCATTGCCTCTGGGGTTCGGTGTGGCAACTTGTTCGTTAGTAGGAGCTACAAGGATGTTATTCCATTAAAATGCCATAAAACAGAAATGAACTAAAATTTTAAAATACCAACAAAAATGTTTTTGCATTCATGACAGGAGCTGAATTCGAGTAAGACCTTGTTTGATTACCATTAAGGCATTGTACCCAGGATTAACTTCCTAAAACCAATTTATGACCGACACAATTTTCATGTTGTGAAACAATAATAAAGCATTTTTTTCTTTTGCATTTTGGTGCACTTCTGTTGGCAAAACATTTTTAATTGAAGTGTGCTAATCTAATTTTTTGCTAAAAATAAAAAAAAAGAAAACAAACAAAGCAAAAAAAGATATTAAAATTTAATAATTAATATGTTATTAATCTACGATGAAAAGAACATCGTTCCTAAGTAGTTTAATCTACACCGATTAAACGGAGTTAAAGTAATGGTAAAGAGAAAAAAGTAATAGATTGAAAAAGCTATCTGAAAAAAAACAACTTAAGTATATTTATATATTATATTAATTTTTATAATATTTTAATAAAATATGGGTCAGTTGGCTAACGAACACTGACTCTGAGCTTCAAATTTGGCAGGGTATGTGCTCAACCCTTGCTACTTGCAGTCTTAAAGATTTATTTACAAATAATTACAAATAAGAAAATAACTCCAAGACCACCACTCAATACCCAACATGATTTTGGCAATATTCGAAACAACTGAAAATTCAATTAATTAAAAATAAAAAATAGTTATTGTTGTTGTAGTTCAATACTTTTCGAAACCTCTTTACAATATTTTAACTAATGGCTAAAGTCAATATGATTGTAAAAGTAGTTATTAATGGAATGATGCTTATTTATTATAAGATATAGATATATAAAAGATATATATATAAGATATATAAAAGCTTCTCATTACAGTGATATTAACACTGAAAGTAAGACCATACTGCAACCATAACGTACTGAAAACTATTTTTTTTATTATTACTATTATATCTAATCTGAGTGTCCGTTCATAGAGATATTTTTGTCAATAGCAAATCAGACAAGCTAGCCAGACGGGGTGCTTTAGAAAATCACTTGGGACATCTAAACAAACTGCGCATATTGCTGCCATTATGCAAACTGTTACTGAGTTCCTTCTGTGCTGAAATTCTTAAAAAAAGATGAGAAGACTCATCGGTATGTAGACATCTGTATGCATGTTGGACATGTTCCATGCTTTTGAGCGACATAAGTCACTCTGAGCACTCTAGATTCAAATTGCCTACTGAGCCCATAATTACATTTATTGGCAATGATCATCTTTCTATTTGGCTCTAGACTGAGGTCGGTATTGTTAGTTATAGCGGTATCGAGGATGAAATCCATTTATAACCACAACTTTTTACACAAGCATTGAGTCCCACAATTGATTTCAAAATTTAGCCTGAAATTTCAACTTCCAATCAAGTATTCGTTTGACATAATGGAATAAGAGCTGTTAGATGTGCGAGAGACCACACCATCTGCAAAAAACCACAGATAATTTTTCTATTAACTAATATATTCAAATTTTCATTAGTTGAAATAAAGTACTGCTTCATTTGGTGAAGAGCATACCAGAAGATGCAGAAAGAGATATTAAAAGAAAGAGAAACTTAAGTTTATTC